CAGCAGCTGGTGTGGCTGGCTGCGGGGCCGCTTCAGCAATGTGGCAGTCCCTGGGGCCCTGAGCAGCCACACTGGCTGCTGCAGAAGTCACAGAGGTCTGGAAAGTCACAGAATCCCTGACTTCCGCGACCTCCGTGAAAGACACGAAGCCCTAGTCATAGTCCAGTGTGAAGTATGGGGGAGATCCCATTATCCAGGGGTAAAGCCCAGGTAAGAAGCCAACTCCCTACTTCCCAGCTGCTGGGAAAAGGAAGAGTGCTTGTCTGGAATTCCATCCTGGTGGCTCTGTCTTTTATATCAGTCTCTGTTTTCTTGTTTCACGCCTGCACCTCCTGGATGTTGAGAGGGTAGGGAGTCTCTGTTTCGGCACCATTTCCTCAATCTCCTGGCTGTTGTGAATAGGGTCTTTCCTACAAAATAGCTCTACCACCAGCCTCTGCTGTTATCCCTCCCTAGCAGCACCAGAGTGAAATTATGCGCAGCAGCTGAAGCACTAAAACTGTTGAGCTGCAGATGCGGACTGCATTCAGTTCTTGTTCAGAATGTTATCTTTGCATCCATAAGGGATGCATAATTAAAAAAAAAGGAAGCTTCAGTTCTGTAGAAGTTGGTGGCACGTGCCCACAAAAAAGCTCCCTAATCCCCAAGTGAATGGATTTTTCAAGCCTCTCATAAATAACTATCTGAATTAAGTTACAAGAGAAAAACAAGGACAAATGATGGGTTTTTTTGTTTGTTTTGGTATCTTTAGTTCTGGGCAGCTGAAATTAATAGAAGTTTCCCATTACTGCAGGAGTGTTGAATATTTTGATCTTTCTGCTCTTGGAGGCAGAAGAATCCACTGTGACAGAATTCTGAAGGAACAATGTTATTTCAGGATATATGTGGGATTAAAAACCTAACCACAGTAACACTGACCTATCTGATTTGGTGTTAAAATGGAATTTCTCTCTAGAAAATAGTCACAGAGAAACAGGGTGTTTAATGTCTTTGAATTTCTTACAAGCAGGATGCGTAGCATCACCTATTAATAAGATTACCTGACACTTCCCATTATAAAAGACCCTTTATTCAGTTGCTTATAACTTTGCTACACTTTAACCATTTGGGCTGAAGTTTTCCATGCCAAATGTCTGCTTCAGGATGAGGTATTTTTTTTTTTTAATTTCAACCAGAACAGTTCAGCCACTTCTGAGATGAGGCTAAGGAAAAAAAAATACATTGTTTTGTCCATCTCTTAAAAATATGGCGACCTCTTTAGAGCAGGAACTTGAAATCTGGCAGGGGATGGCCTTTGTGGTAGGGATGCGTCTTTTGTAAATCCACCCAAATTTTGCCAATTTATAACCCTCTGAAAAATCATAACTCGCACGGACTCTATAGACTTATTGATTTTAGCAGCTGAATTCTCTGACGATTCCATCTGCAGTGAGCATGCTCCAGCTCAGAGCTGATCAGGACTTTCTCTGCAGCTGCAGCTCTGGACTGTTGTGCCAGGTCCAGGTCCAGGCACCTGATCTGAGAGCAGGGAGCCCCTGTATCTTGTGCTCTCAATAACCCCTCTGTGCGGCCCAGGCAAAGGGGAGAAGAAAGCTGCCTGATTCAAATAGATAGGGAACAAGAGCCAGACCAATGGGATATGTGTGTAGCAGGGGAATAGATTGGGACAAAGAACCTGAGGGGGTCAGGGCAGAAACTGGGACTGGAGGATGGGGACTGCAGGGGGGAGAAGGAAGAGGGAAACATGGAAGACATAGGTCTGTCTGTAACTGGAAGCTGGGGGCACAGACTAGGACTGAAACTAGCTGGGCAATGAGAATGGGACTGGGAGCCTGTCATAAATATAAATGGAAGGGTAACAACCTTCCTGTATACAGTACTATAAAATCCTTCCTGGCCAGAGGCACAAAATCCTTTTACCTGTAAAGGGTTAAGAAGCTCGGGTAACCTAGCTGGCACCTGACCAAAAGGACCAATAAGGGGACAAGATACTTTCAAATCTGGGGGGGGGCAAAGGGGGCTTTGTTTTTCTGTTCTCTGTCAGTCTGTTCTGTGTGTTGCCAGAGACAGATCAAGAAAGCAAGCAATCCAACTCCATTAGGATTAGTAAGTACTAGCAAGGTAATGCGTTAGCTTACTTTTATTTTGGCTTCTGATTTTCTCTATGCTGAGAGTATTCCTGGTTTTCTTTTTGTAACTTTAAAGTTTTGCCCAAAGTCCTCTGCTACTCTAGGCCTTAAAAGTGTTTTTAACATATGGGAAATTCAAGCAATTCCCTGGTCACATAGAAATATAGAAATTGCCAGACTGGATCACAGCCATGGTCAAGTTAGTCCAGGGAAATCCTCTGTGTTTTGAATCTGACTGCCCTGTGAGATTATCTTCCATTCTAATTTTACAGAGGTGCTTCTTTTAACTTTTTTCTTTCTAATAAAGTTCTATTTTTTTTTTTAAATCGGATTGGTTTTTTGTAGTGGTCTAAAAAA